AAAATGTCACCTTTCATGAATTGTTTTTTCCCTTGGCAAAAGGAGTACTTCTTTGCCAGATATACAGGGTGTTTCTTAAGTACGTGTAAAAAATCAAGGAGCATGTTGCTGACGTCGTAATAAGAAGAAAAGTTCGTATGAACATAGGTCCGAAAGTTATCCGTTTCTCAAATGCAGAGTGTCAAAGTTGAATTCGTATTTTTGTTTTTTGTTAATAAATTTCAAAATAATTGTCATATTGGGATGAAATTTGGTACCTAGGGGTATTTTTCAATGACAATATCAAATTTCATGTTAGTTTGTCTCTTGTGTGAGGGTGGCGTCACCTATATGTCTTTTGAGTCTTTTGAAAAGTCATAACTTTTTTGTGTGTAACGTTTTATAGTAGAAAAATAGATTTCTAGAACAATTTTGTGTAGAAAAGATATTCCTGGTAGAGGTCACTGCGAGCAACTGTTTTCGAGTCATAGGAATTTGAAATAATCAGTGCAAGTAATTTGGAACAAGAAAAAGGTGGAATTCAAAATTGATTTATCAAGTAAGGGAAATTATTTCTCTTTAATTTCATAACAAAATAGGAATCGAGTGTTATTACAATTTAATACTTATAATAATAACAGTAATCATAGATGAAACACACTCTAGTTGAAAAAGCTTGGATCACAAGTACAGAAGACAACAAACTCCAATGTCACAAGAACGGATTGAAATAACATGACAAGTACCCACTTGATTGTTATTTTTTTAAATTGGAAGAGTCCAAAACAGTAGGTACAAAAAAGTGAGAATCATATTTTGCCTACATTCCAATGTTGAATGTAGGAGAATATTGAATGAGAGAAGAAACATGCACTGGCGTATATCTTTTCTGATATTCACTAGAGGCGCCTTACGAGCCACATGAAAATAATTCAAATGCATCGATTATTTCGAATCCCAATAAATCTAGAACATATTTTTTACACAAAAGTGTTCTAGAAATCTATTTTCCTACTATGAAACGTTATACAGGTACGCACAAAAAAGTCAAGACTTTTGAAAAGACTCAAAAGACATGTAGGTGGCGCCACCCCCACGAAAGAGACGAAATTACATGAAATTTGATATTGTCATTGAAAAATACCCTAAGATACCAAATTTCACTCCAATATCACAATTATTTTGGAATTTATTAACAAAAAACAAAAATAAGAATTCAATTCGACACTATGTTTCTCAGAAACGAATAACTTTCAGACATATATTTATACGAACTTTCCTTCTTATTTTGATGTCAGCAACATGCTCCTGAATTTTCTACACGTACTTAAAAAACACCCTGTATATCACATATATAGGGTGCTCCTTAAAGACATGATGATATTCGGAACGGTGATCTTTGACTTATTTCAAGAAGAAAACTTCATATGAACGTATGTCCTAAAAGTCTTAACTTTTGAGATACAGGGTGATGAAGTTTTGAAAAATATTCAGTTTTTTGATAATAACTGAGACAATATTGTAAACATCTTCATGAAATTTGGTACACGTCTTTCATATTTAATTATGTACAAAAAAGATACTCCTGTTTATACTTGATAGAACGCTTCGTTTTCGTGAAAAAACAGAAAAACGAGACCAGACTTCAAATTTTGATGACTAGATGAGTACTCCATTCAGGACATCCGTAACTGGATAACCACAGTACAGTGTGTCCAGTTTTCGATGCTTTTGCGTGATATCTCAGTTATCTTTCGAGAAAGAACCTTGCGGTTTTCGCGGTCCTGTGCCACTTTTTTTGTGGAACTCAAGATGGCTTAATCAGATTTTGCATAACTGTTCGCGTTTATGAGATAAAGCGCGATTACGAAGTTTCTTAGCGAATATTTAAAATTGGAATCTCATCCCACAGAGAATTTTGAGCAGAATCCAGTGGCACACTGAATTTTTTTTTTCTGAGTATGGTTTTGGAGATACGACTCAAACCTATGATTTTTCAAATGGAACACCCTGTATTTTATAAGCTCATTGAATTAATTATTTTTTTGTTATCAAAATAAAATATGATGTATAGATATAAAAGTTTCAAAAATGCTCCAAAATCACTAAAACATTGAATTTTGATAGTGGGTTATGGATTTTTCATTCAAAAAAAGTTACAATTGAAGAAATATTTCATTTGATTTTTCCATGAAAAGAACAGAAACAATCCCAACACTGGTTAACTAAGAAAACACAAAAATTAGGTACCTGAACCAACAAATGAATAATAATAAAAAGTTCATATTCTAGAATAAGTACCTGATTTGATATTCACTAGGACAATTGAATTTTGAAATTAATCAGTAAATTATTCATTGAATTGTTCAAATTGATGTCCATTTTCCCTCACACACTTTCTCAATACGTCTAAATGCATTCAAAATCATTAAAGGATGTCTTTGTAATTCCTGGAAAACTGTATCTGCTGTTGCACAAAGTTCTTCAAGATTGTTGTGCCTCTTACTATATCAAGACGTATTGAGAAACTGTGTAAATTGTGTGTTATTGAATATGGACATCAATTTGAACAATTCAATGAATAAGTTATTGAATAATTCCGAAATTCAATTGTATTTGTAAATATTTAATCTGGTGCTTATTCTACATTATATTACTGTTTATTTGTTACTTTCAGGTACATAATTTTTGTGTTCTCTTGACTAATTGGTGTTGGTATTGGTTTTGTCCTCTTTACGGAAAAATCAAAATGAATATTCCTCTAATTGGAACTTTTTTAATAGAAAAATCCATAGCCCACTATTAAAATTCAATGTTTTAGTGATTTTAGAGCATTTTTGAAAATGTTATATACATACATTTCAAATTATTTTGAAGAGATGAAAATGAGGAATTTTATGAGCCTATAAAATACAGGGTATTCCATTTAAAAAATCATAAGTTCGAGTCGTATCTCTAAAACCATACCCCGAAAAAAAATCTTGAGTGCGCCACTGGATTCTGCGTTAACTATATGGGATGAGATTTTGATTTGACATTCTTGCTGGGAAACTTCGTAAATATTGAAGGGGTCCAACAAGTATAAATTCTTAAAATCGCCCTGTATCTCATTAACATTTATGCAAACTCTGATAAGGCCATCTTGAGTTTCACAAAAAAGTGGCACAGGACCGCGAAAACCGCAAGGTACTATACCACGAAAGATAACTGAGAAATCACGCGAAAGCATCGAAAACTGGACACACTGTACACATCTCGCAATTTGTATATCGATTCAGTCACATAGCAGACTGAATTTTTCGATCACGAAAAGCTATACAGGGTGGACAAAAAAGTAATCTATGCATATTTCCAACATTGACACCCTGTATCTCAAAATTAAGGACGTTTTTGACATACGTTTATATGAAGTTTTATTCTTGAAATGGGTCGAAGAAACGGCCTCTTGAATATTAGCATATCATTAAGGAACACCCTTTTTATACACTGTTGATGGCTTTTGTTGTGCTATATTTCCGGAAAATAAGCCAATAACACCGTCTCCGAGAACGAACTGCAAGTCCTTTCATCTTTCATTAGACTTCGCGTTACGTAAATTACTAAAGGTCCAATAAATTGGCAATTTTTTAAAGTCAAAATACAGAATAAGCCAAAAAAAAATGTTGCCTGCAAAAAGATACCTGCAACGCAGTTGTCATTTCTGATTTTGATATAATGTAATATATTCTCAATATTGTTTCGTCCTTCTTCCTGTCACAGATAAAAATAGTGTATTATACACGGGAAGAATATTAGATTTCAACTCAAGGTTTTTTGTCTCCAACCTGGAGCTGAAATCTTCAATTTTTTTCCTTGTATAATGAATAGTTATTTATTATACAAGGGAAAAAAGTAGTAGATTTTAGCTCCAAGTTGTGTCTCCCGACGCGTAGCGGAGGGAGACAAAAAACCGTGAGCTAAAATCTAATATTTTTCCCGTGTATAGGTAATACACTTTTTTTTTTCTGTGACAAAAAAAAGGACGAATCAATATTGAAAAGATATTACATTATTTTGAAATCTGAAAATTATCGACGTGTTTTAAGTTTTTAACAGTAGGGACACCTGCGTTGTAGGCATCTTTATCATTCAATTGAAGTAATCAAACATCTGATGTCACTTCTGTCAGTCTAATTCTGTGATTTGATTTCAAAAAATTGCGAATTTAGTGGTTGTTTAGTAATATACGTAACCGCGAAGTCGAATATGGAAGATAAAAGAGGACTTGCAGTTCTTTCTCGGAGACGGTATTATTGACTCATTTTTCGGAACTATAGCACAACAAAAGCCATCAACAGTGTATATATATGTGATGTATATCCGGGAAGAAAGTACTCACTTTTTTTCCACGGAAAAAAGTAATTTATGAAAAGTGACATTTTATAACCTGCCAACAGAGATGAAATGCCAAACTTTTTTCCCGTCACAGAAAAAAAAATGTATTCATAAATTCCCACTTTCCGGAGAGTGCAGCTCGAAAACGGTAAGTAATTCGAATAAAGTGTATGAAGACAAAGTTGTGGAGAATTTTTTCAGTTATCATTAGATGTTTGATTGTTTTGCTACGACGAACCATTTCCGAAATATAAGCGATAAACTCAAAAGTGAAACCTTCTTACTGCCCCTCCTCCTCCGGCTCACCTCCTAGGCGTCAGGACTTTCAGTATGTTGACTTTCTCAACTCCTCGAACGAGTTTTTGAAGAATTCGCTCTGCTCCCTGCTCACGCACTCTACAGTCTACCTACACCCATCTTTGGGATCATTTAGTGATTGAATCATTGAGTAAGGATTGAAATAAACGGTTGTGCATGGAATGTATAAATTTCGAGCGTAACGTGCTTTTATGGACCTGCTCGTGTTAATAGCCTATAATTACCTACACGCTGCAGTCCATAAAAGCCTATTTTGCGCCTATTTTGATCAGCATTCTATATAATACATTCGGTAATTGGAGGTATAAATATAAATACATATTACTCACCCTATTATTTTTTGAGCTAACTCGGATAGTGTTAACTTGCGAACACCTGGAATATCAAAGATGTCTTTGTGTTTCAACTTCTTACGTTTCTTTCTTTTCTTCGAACTTTTACTGATCGTGTCCGGCGAAGACATATTGCACGAAATTACGTTTTCAATGTCAATATTGGGTTGGTTCTCTCTTGGTTACGTCAAGGTTACGTCAGTTGCGTCTTACTTCAGTTCCTTTCGATACTGGGTCTTCATTTTCTTGTTACAAGTGTGTTTCTACATTCTCCTCATTCATCATCATCCTGGAACATTATCATTATACATCGTGTTCGTCAAAAGATCAATCCTTCAACGGTGGTCCAAAATTGTCTTCCTATATTATTATGTCTGTAACAAATGAATTTGAGATGAATTTCTCTTGATTTTGAATCGAGTTGAATGTATGAATGTTGAATTGATATCTTGAAGCATTTTATACACTGTGTCGTATCCATAAAGTTACTCCCTCCTTTAGTTAACTTCTGAAGAGCTGGGAGTTTTTCAAAATGGCTTTCTTTTGATTTTGAATCGAGTTGAATGTATGAATGTTGAATTGATATCTTGAAGCATTTTTACTGTGTCGTATCCATAAAGTTACTCCCCCCTTTAGTTAACTTCTGAAGAGCTGGGAGTTTATCAAAATGTGTGCCTAATGGTAGTTCGATTGCTTCATATTGATTCTGATATAAAAATAGCTATCTTACAGAATAGCGCCTAGACGCCATTTAGGAAGATTTATCAAATGGAATGAGAGGTCGAGTGATATATCTCATTTGAAACGTTTTTCGATTTTCTATACCACACCAGAAATTCGGAGCTGGAGAATATGCATCAAAAAAGAATGTCGGATGATACTGGCTCATGAGCAGCATATTTCTAAATTTCTTTGCGTTTACAGAGTGACTCAAATGTGCGTGACGTATCAAAGTAATACTTCTTATTATAGGACACCCTGTATTCTATTGCATTTCCGGATTCTCCTTGTGATCTAGTGGGAATGATTACAGAGCTATAGGGTGTTCAAAATCGAGATTTTTCAACTTTAGGATATTTTTGTGTCGAAACTATTAGTTATTGGTCAGATAGGCTCACATGTTCCCTTCTCAACTTATGATTCACTATCTATTGATATTTAATTTGGACGAATACAGGGTAGTTCAAAATTCAGAATTATGAACCACCCTGTATTCGTTCGAATTAAATATCAGTAGATAGTGAATCAAAAGTTGAGATGGAGACATGAGAGTCGTTTCGACCAATAATGGATAGGATAGATCCTAGAGTTGAAAAATCTCGATTTTGAACACCATATATCTCTGTAATAATTCTCGCTAGACCCCAAGTATGATGCATTGATGGAATCAGCTCACAAAGGAGAATCCAAAAGATCGATGAAATACAGGGTGTTCTAAAAGAAAAGATATATTACTTTGAAACGTCACGCATTTTTGAGTCACCCTGTATAACGCGAAATATTTTGGAAATGTGATGCTCATGAGCCTAGACAATCACAAATTTTGTTCATCTATCTCAAACAGCGAAGCCATTATCTCAATTTCCCATTTCAATGACTCACCCTGATGTATATCAGGTGAATCATTTGACAAGATGACTATCAACATGTCCTCCTATAACCTTCAACTCTCTATTGGCATCTAGAAAAGTTCTTTATCCAGAAAAATGAGAGCCATCTAGACAAAAGCGTGAAAGGTTCATGTTGAATTTATTTATTTTTTATATCAACCAGTTAGACAGTTATTACTGGCTATTAAGACAGTTTTGATTGTCTATACAGGTAGTGGGTACCTGATGTTTATTGATACATAATTCAATAGACTGCACCAGATTGTACAACTGTCTATTTAGACAATTGTAGAGGGTCTTCACGTATATTTTGAACCCCCACTCAACTTTTTTACGAATTGTTGAATTTTATTTCCAGGGAACATTCTTCAATATTTTTTCCTGTTTATTTCATATATCCCAACAGAAAAACAGTTGAACATCTCAATAAATACTTATGGGCAACATTTATAATTTTTTCAATAGGACACCCTGTATTCTATTGCATTTTCAGATTCTCCCTGGAGAGCTGATTTCATCGATCGCAGTTGGGGTCTAGCTGAAATGATTACAGAGATATAGGGTGTGAAAAATTGTGATTTTTTCAACTTTAGGAATTCTTTGTGTCGAAACTATTCACTATTATTGGCCAAAACGGTTTTCATGTCCCTATCTTAAGTTTTGATGTTTTATCAACTGATATATAATTGAAACGAATACAGGGTGGTTGAAAATCTAGAATTCTGATGACCCTGTATTTGTTTCAATTGAATGTCAGTAGATAGTGGATCGAAAGTTAAAATAGGTCTTGAAACAGTTTCGGCCAATAATGAATAGTTTCGACACAAAAAATTCCTAAAGTTGAAAGAATCTCAATTTTTCACACCCTATATCTCTGTAATCATTTCAGCTAGACCCCAACTGTGATAGATCGATAAAATCAGCTCTCCAGGGAGATTCAAAAAATGAAATGGAATACAGGGTGTCCTATTGAAAAATTCATAAATGTTGCCGATAAATATTTTTTGAGATGTTCAACTGTTTGTCTGTCGGAATATATGATATTTACAGAAAAAAATATTAAAAAAACTTTCTTTGAGAATAAAAATTTAACAATACATAAAGAAGTTAATTGGGGGTTCAGAATATACGTGAAGACCCTGTACCTGTTTATTTAAATACACACAAGTCCGCAATAAGTTTGCAAGCAATATAGCTTAGATCTGATTTGGAAATAGGGAGTTGTTAGTGAAGTTGTCAAAGGAAGCAGAACTTATTTTATTAAAAACAATGCAGGTAGCATCATTTCATATAATGACATATGAGAGTATATAATGATTATTATTGCTATTGGTTTCAAAAACGAGAGCTTGCTGGAATATACCAGGTTATATGTATACAAACTTTTGACTAAGACTTAGAAGAAGATTATAAGACTTCGTCATAATATTTTGATGAAATAATTTATGCCGAGTAGGTTGGTATTTACCTAAATCTCAACAAAAACATATATTTATATACTCACAAATTTGACTACTATGATCTAAAAATAACACATTTCACTGCATATAAAAACCTGTTTACTGTTGAATTATCGATCAAACAAATACCCCTAATATCAATAAATCCTCTACATATAATAAGGTATATAGGATGGTGGAGTTTAATCTGTGGATGTACAGTCTTCTTCAGAATCCTGGACGATGGTAGCACTCTTATGACTTCTGCAATAGAAGTGCTGACTTCTACCTTACCTATTCCAACGTATTTGGATGGATCTTGAAATTATGAAAGTGACAAAATCAAGGTGACTTCATATTTCTACGATTTCGTAGATGGTGAGTATACTTTATTTTCTTTTGAATTCATATATCTATAATAGTTCATTATTCCAAAATTTTTGGGATTTTTTCTCCTCGTTTCTATAAAATAAAAATATGAATATTATTTCAATATACGTGTAGTAAGGACAAATCAGATGATTTGCCCCAAAATGTCACTGCGTTTAAAGAATTTTCCTATCAGAGAGCCTAAAAGAAAAATTCACTAGCTTGTCAGTGACAATTTGTATTGAAAAATTTTTGGAGAAGAGAAATAAAGGTATATAGAAAAAATATCAAATTTTCACTTATCTTTGGACGTTTCGGGACCGATTCTGCTCCCGTTTTTAACATGAAGAGATTTTTTCAATTGCGAAGTCGTATAATATGTCTTGAAGCTTTTCAGTTTCCAATGACGATTGTTGACGTCCAAAGATAAGTGAAAATTTGATATTCTTTCTATATACCTTTATTTCTCTTCTCCAAAAATTTTTCAATACAAATTGTCACTGACAAGCTAGTGAATTTTTCTTTTAGGCTCTCTGATAGGAAAATTCTTTAAACGCAGTGACATTTTGGGGCAAATCATCTGATTTGTCCTTACTACACCTATATTGAAATAATATTCATATTTTTATTTTATAGAAACGAGGAGAGAAAATCCCAAAAAATTTGAAATAATGAATATACCACCTCCTCGATTAACCTACAGACAGTATCTATAATAGTTATTTATGTATCAAGGGCGTAAAGTAGGCGTTTATGCCTGTGGTGTGAATTATGGCCCAATGGCGCTAGCCGAGGGCCATTACACGCTGAAGGCCATAAACGCATTTCACGCACGTGATACATACAAAATTTTATGCACTAGTGGTTTATTTTCTGACTCAAGAATAATGACTATAGATTTCGATAAACTAATATTCCCTCGAATTCAATTTGTTACCTATAAATTCAGTAATCAAGAAAAGCGTAATGTTCATGGATGATTTGAATAGCAAGACTATGGAATCGGATAAAGAAGAAGTTTATGATATACCGCGGGATATATTAGAATCTAGGAAAATGATCATAGGTTTTTCATGAATTGATATGTGGATATAAGGAAACTGAGAACAGCGGGCAGTAAAGTGCACTTTACGAACCGTGGGCCATAATGAGGCCGCGGGCATAAAATATATTTATACAAATATTATACAGTGTGTTACAATTTGGTTCAGCGAACCCCTGTACTTTAGTATTCCTACATAATACATATATTACTCAAAATTATCTACTTTGTCGAGCAAAAAAAGAATATCAATCACAATTTCTCAACCTACTGCGATCACAAAATCTCTAGCCAAATTCAAAGAAAACGGATTAGGAATTTTTCTACGAACATTTTGATGTAGGCAATCAATTCGGACTAGTCACAAAAAAAATTTCAATTATTGCACTTTTCGAATCACCGTGTATAATAATTCTTGGAATTTGTTCGGATTTTTTGTATTTTCGACTGAATCTCCTTTAGTCTCTATACACTTTTCCTATCTCTTCTCGCACGTTATTTTCAACTCTCCTGCAAGATTTGCAAATTGAAGCCATGGAATAGGGAAGAGTTGGGGCAAATAAACAATTTGCAGACAGATACCGCACCAGAAGAACTGAGGGGAGTTCAAAGGGATATGAAATGTGTGCAGAGAATGAAGGAGGTTTGATCGAGAATAAACAAAAATCTGA